ACGAAAATAATTAGTGTCATATGAGAAAAATTTAAGTTACTCTTAAGGGTTATCAAGAATTTTTATCAATAATTTTTTTAGTATTTCAAATACAAAATAGATTGAAATTGTATTTACAATACAAAATACATTGAATAATTTATTTGAAATACAAAATACAAAATACAAAATACAAATTGTATTTCAAATACTGTATTTGAAATATGCCCAGCCCTGTATACAAACTATATGAGTACATAATTTGTATACATACGGTGCAACATATACAAACTATAAACTCAGAATTATTCGTTTGCTTTCAATGAAATTATATGAAAATGTTACAAGGTACACGATAAGTATCGGTTCTGGCAAGATACCAATAGACTCGCAGGTCAGTAAACAGGAACAGAAAGCACAGAACAAACGAAGACAGAAAGTGTTGAGAGGCAATGTTGTGGGTGACAATCTCTACAGCGGCAAGTGGCTACACACCACTCTGCTGTCTCTATGTGAGGTAATTCCTTGTGAAAGTTATTCTTTAAGTATAAACTATTATATATTAAGTATTAACTTATATATTATTTTAAGTATTTAAGTATTAACTATTATATATTAGTCTTTAAGTATAACTAATTATCTTGTACAGTAATGTCATACGAGACTCACAAATGATAAGCACGTTAAGTGGAAATACTTTTTGAAATTTTGTTTTATCAGGTACAATTTGTCTCCTTTTTTTTAAAGTTCCTTTTTGATCTTTTTTACTAGCTGTAATTTATTCATAAATGATCTCATTTGTTAAATTTATGATAAAATAAAAATAACAAATTAAAAAACTTATTTTAGGTCTATAAGAAACATTGGACGCCAGAGCTAGAGGATGACCTTTGCGTTTTGTGGTATTTAAGTGAGGAAAAAGAAATGGTGTCGTATCTTGTGTCGCACGATTTTCTTACGATAGCCATGAACATGCTAATGATTCCTGGCCATCCACGGCTAATGATTCCTGACAATCCACGATTGACTGTATGATATATATTTATTTTTATTGCGATGTTTGATTGAGTTCTACAGAAACCATTTTTTAACGACAAATTTTGACTACTTTAATAGCTAAAGATATATTTCTAGGAGATAATTTTGGGTATCATTGACAACTTGAGCAATAATGAAGAAATCGTCGATAAAATAGGCTGCAATCGAGAACTACCTCCAATGATCCTAAGCTATTTAAAATCCAACGACTCGTTAATATTGATTCAACTCCTCAAGATCTTACAGTCGGTTGTACGGAAAATCAGGCAAGATTCTCAATCATATTGGGTGGACCATCTTACGGAATGCTATTTTTTTGAGGAATCCATGATCTCCATATTAGAGAGTTCTAATTGTACGCTAAATATACGTATTGTAATGTGTCGTGAGAGAAAGTCCGAACTAATGTAATCTTATTTTCTGTCGCAGATGACTTGCACGTAAAAAAGACCGCAATAAGTTTGCTTGAATCTATGTCTCATTGTCACTGCACAAGGATGCGGTACGAGAACAGTAAAATATCTCTCCTCGAGAGATTTTTTAGAACAGACACCTTGTTTCACGCCCTGTTGGAATCGTTTACGTCGTTTATGCCTTATGTAATACGCCCGGGAAAGAAGAGTCACTCCCAATTGACGTTCGTCGATCATTGGCTGACGATGCTGGCTGCCGTAATGGGGTGTGGTTCTGGTCTTAAATTCTACTATGACTATGAGAATGACGAGACGTTTAGGAAGTTGATGGAAATTATATTCACGATATTGAAATTGTACGAAGACAATGAGGATAATTTATATCCAGTCCAGCAACAGAGTGCCAACATAATTTGCGATGCTGTGTGCGTATTGCACGTTTTACGTCGTGACAGCATGAATGTCCCAGTAAGAATAGATCGTGTTGTAGCGGAACTAATTTTTTCCCTTGAAACAGGTACATAATTCGCTTTTTCTTTAACATTGCAAATAATACACGCACGCACATCTTTTGTGTCTAACAACGTATGTATTAGTTTCAGGAAAAAGATTGACAGAGAAAAAAAAAATGGATCCAGGTGGACTGAGATTCAAGCCTATACGTTGTATGTTTAGATATTGGTTGAAAATAATTGAACTCTTTACCAGCGAGCAGATTGTGGAAATATTGAGTGTATGTGAATGCAAGGTTCGTGAACATCTACTATGTCTTTCGCAGTCTGAAATGACACCTGCGATGATTGACAAAGTGGAGAAGGTTACGTTAATATTCTTGAAAAATGCGCGATTGAAAAACCTTAAAAAAGACGATGAACCTTTATGTAATACATTAAAAATATAAATTTTTAATTTTGCAAAATATTTTGTAAATGTTTAATAGTTATAAAGACATATATGAATAACATTAAGTACAAAATTGTAATTACTTGATTATCAGCTTTGATGTAAATGTATCATAATTGTACATATAAAGATCTGATCTAATTGCACGTTTAATTCCAGTCATTCTAATTACTGCAGTTTTATATTCAATGTTACTAACGTGTATGTTTAAAGATCGAATGGTGTTTCAATGTTTTTTTTTTTATAAATCTCATACTAAGATTTTAAAAACTATTAGGATAAATATATAATAAAATTTGCAGCCTGCAAAATTAATTGATATTGTTTTGTATTTACCAAGTTTCTCATATACAATGTTTATTTATCGAGCTATCATATCTACATGTTTTCAATTCGGAATGGACTTTGAAAAATTAGAGGCTAATCACTTATTTGAAGTTTTCAAGAATAATTTCGTATAATTCATAATAATTTTAAAATTGGATTAAAAAATTTTCTTTAACCCCTTTCTTCCTCGATCATTTATGTGATCGTTCTCTTCACGTATGCATGAAACAGGCGGCCAATTTTCGCTCTACTTTCGAAGCGTACAGATTCGAATTTGGCGCGAATTCTTACATCATGGACAAAGAGGAGCCTGAGAGCGGCCATGCCCGCGATTTTACTGCCGTCGGCGACGAGCTGATTTCAGCGCCTCTAGAAAGGGGATGTTGAACTACTAACTAGAAAGACCAATGAGAAACACGCTTTCCGTCCAACGCACGTGCTTCTCATTGGCTCTCTAGTTAGTAGTTCAACATCCACTTTCCAGAGGCGCTGAAGCTCATCGCCGGTCGCAAAATCACGGGCATAGCCGCTCTGGCGCTCTCAGGATCCTCTCTCTCTGGTTCAACTAGTTCAAGAAGAGAAAAAAGATAGAAAGGAAGCATTTGTGTAGAGCATTCGGCTTCAGTTTGTGTATTGTTAGTAAATAGAGTAAGGTTGTTACACAGTAAAGTGGGAGCTATATCTCGAAATCATACATTTCGTAAACGAGAATGAGTAATATTTTTGGTATCGAAGATGG